TATAATCAAGTGCAATTAATCTGCTAATATCCCCCCAGTGTCGGTGTAATGGGGGCATTAACAGGGCTCATCTGTTGTGACGGCGCCGCTGCTGTTTGCTCGCTGGATTATTCACAGCGGGAGAGCCTGAATGCTTTTTGACAGGTATTCTTCAGCATTCATATCACCAAAGTCAATTTGAATAAACTACTGTCATCTCCCATAAGGGCTGCTCCTGCAAAACACATGTCTCCTCGCTAAACAGGTTTGCAATCCTCAATGAAATAGTGAATGTAAATTACCCCATCCCATTTTCCAAACAATATCGATTGTGACAGGAAGGCACGAGATCACATACAGGAACATTTGCAGAAAAACAGCTTTAACATATGAAGATGGAAAGGGAAGCACGTGAAAGAGGGTGTCAAATAAAAGCCATATTCCCTTTCACAGGAATAACAAGTGGAAAACAGCGGAGTATATTTATGCTTAGAAGACATACGAATGCGTGTTTCCTTGCAGCTTGATTGGAAAATCACATATAGGCCATCAACCTGAACCTACAGAGAGAGCAGAGGGTTTCTCCCCCCCCCCCATGCAAACTGATTGGCTTGCGGGGGGGGGGGGGGGGGCTCTCTACCATATTCATTTCACAGTGTGTGATAAGTGGGTAAAGGGGAGTGTAAAAGGCAGCTTGTAGCAGTGCTGTATTCTTCGTTATGCTTCAAAGTCGAGCTCAGCGCTTCAAATTTCACAGCAATGAACGTGTGAAGATACAAATACACTGACATTATAAATCAGTTAATTTCTAAGCTTCAATTATGCAAAGGTTCCTGATTATTTTCGTAGGCTTCGATTGGAGTGAGAGGCATCAGCATAATTCAGCTGCAAGGTGCACTCTGAGCTCGCCTCCCCACATCCTTGACTGCTGCTGACTTCCAAGCATTCATGAAATATGCACTCTGTCTTTTATAATTCAACAGAAAAAGGAAACATGCCTTGATAGTGATTTAAAGACGAAAGCTGGTCTAGAGTTCTTTTCTTATGTGTTTTCCAGTAAAAAAGGGATGTACTGTTAATATACAGTATGGACATTCCTCTTGCTGTTATTCACATTTACATGAATCAATGCTTTTCAAAGTATTCAATCAAACACTCTCCCGCAGGGCTTAGGAATAAATCATCCTTTTATACGATAACAAAAAGTAAAAAGTCAAACAGATTTTTTAGCTCTGTGTTGTTGAAACAGCATTTCAAAAAGATGTTACAGATCGCTATACCTTGTAGAAGAAAGACAATTAAACAGATTGAACCCTTTGAGCAAGAACCATAAACTACGGAACAGGAAGGAGAAGCTCTGTCTTCCAGACTTCATGAGAAAATGATTTCACTTCAGAGAGCGGTGGACAACACACAGCACCTCTCATCATATGATCTGGGGAATTGAAAGGATTTTGGCTTCACTTTATTAGTTTTCTTTACCCTGTGCAATTCATTTCTAACAGGTGAAAGGTCTCCTAACCCACAACACAGGCAACCAATTGTCTGGTAACCACATTCTCTATGGGTGATAAAAGGATCTGAATGTTTTTGTCGAGGCTTGCCCACAGGATTTGCTTTGACATCTCAGAATATGCAAGTGTCTGATTTCTTTAAAATATGTGATGCAAGAAGTCCAATAATCTGTTGCAATATACATTTTAATCCATACTTTGGAAATTTTAAGCATGAGCATTTTCTTCCGAAAGTCTATACAATGAATATCAATCATTTTATAATCCATACTGAACCAGCCAATGAGGAAGGTCATGTCAGCAACAATGAATGCACAAATGAACTGTGCAACCTCTGTGAATAACAGGTCCCAGTGAGGGTGTAGTTCACTGAGTGTGTCAGCAAATCCCCCAGGAACTAAAGCAGGTGAGAAAACTATCCCCCGTGGAAATAGTACAAAAAAATGCAGTGTGCACAGAAAAAAGAATTAGAAGAACCACCCAATGCAAAGGACCAAATACTCAGCTTACATTCATCGTCAATGGAAGTAAGGCTATTTTTATAGCTCAAAACAGCATTAAAACAATCCACATTTAAATAAGAGAAACCCTTTTAAAGACATACCAATGTTAAGGACGTAGAAATAAATAAAGGAGAGGCTAGATTGTTCTTCATGCATATTTAAGGTTCAGCCAATGGCATTGCATTAAAAGTTTTCAACCTGCATTTGAAGATGTGGTCAAACTTCCTCCAGACGTTTTTTCCTGCTACGTGGTGAGTGGCCCATGGTGGTGGTGGGGTTATGGTATGGGCAGGCGTATGTTATGGATGACGAACACAGGCCACTCGATTCACAACATTACCCTAACCCTAACCCTAACCCTAATCCTAACCCTCACACCAGATACTCACTGGTTTTCGGGCCCCCCCAGACCCCCCCAATAAAGCAAAAATGCACGTTTCAGAGTGGCCTTTTATTGTGGCCAGCCTAAGGCACACCTGTGCAATAATCATGCTGTCTAATCAGCAT